CGAAGGAATAAAATAAAATTATGGTCAAACTAAGACCAATGAAACTCAAATATGTTGTATAATATCTGGAATTTCGGGCTATAAGGATTCATTAGGATCCAAAATGCCAATTATCATCTTGGTCAATTCTAGTGTGTTGTTGAACAACCGGATGCCACAAAATTGCGTACGAGTAGTTTTCTCTGACCCAAACGTTTCTTACCAAACCTTTTGGTTTTAATGGTTCACTTGCTGGAAAGTCTAATTTTTTCGGTTTGCATTAAGAGAGTAACTAATTTTTAATATTTAAAGGTTTGAGGGCTGGATCAGCTTAAAAATTAGCCTAATCAATGTTTTTTTTTAAAAAAATTTTATTTGACTAGGCGATCGGAGTTGAATATCGAAAACATTGCTTTGTATCACTTGAAAGTATTAAATTGTGATTTTTAAAATTTGAATGACCAAATTGAAATTTAGTGGATTAAAATCAAATCAATACCGTGTAATTTGTTTGTATGCGTGTTTTTTTTCTTTTCTAATCTAACGTCAATAATCTATTCTACTATTATACTATAAGGGGAGGAGGAGCTCAACAGGTTTGTATGGAACTGAAAATGAGTCTCTAGACAAAATAAGTGAACTACTATACTCTCTAAATTTTTGTTATGAATAAAGGAAGATACTTTTCCTTAATGCCCTGACTTGGTGCACCAGAGGAGACTGTTGCTGGCATAATTTGTATGCATTTTTTGGATGACAAGCCGTGAAAACCTGGTGAATGTGGTTTGCTTTGAGCTCCAAACCGACCAATATTGGTCAAGGTGGATGGTGCCACCATGTCAAAGCCCTATAAGTGGTTTGTGATTTTTTGATTCTTGAATATCTTGTACTTCTTGTAGCAGAAATGCAGAATAACCATTCAAGATGCCTGATTAATTTGATCCGCTGCGTCTTCGCGTCTCTATACGGAATGGGAGGAGAGGATATTGAGAAATTTATAGGATGACTATTGAATGGAACCTCTTGGACTTCCCCCCTCGGAAAACAATAGAAATTTCATTCAAAGTATAAAATTGTATAGTTAATAAACAAAGTAGGGATGACAATTGGAGCGAGTACTCGCAGGAAGTTAATGGGGCGGAATTGGGGGCGGGGTAGGAGAATTGTTTTCTTTTTGTTTAGAAATGGGGCGAGGGCGGGAAAGTATACCCCCGTCCCGTTACCTGTTAAAAAAATTAATAAATATATATATGTATATAATTATATATAATATTTAATTTAATTAGTTACAAACTTATAATTATATATATAGAAAACTGGCTACAACTTGCATTCTAATTCTGTGATGAATCAGAATGAAAAAGCAGTTAACTAAACAAGAGGAAACTCTGGCTACATCTAGCCTGGATAGTTCTTGATACTGAACAAACTCAAATTTAATGAGTTCTTGCATGACCAAAGTGATTAAATCTTTAATGAGGCAAATGCATATCCTCGGTTCTGTGCACAAACTGGGGCATTAAAGGCCTCACAAATTGACAAAGACAACTGAATGAGCTGCAACAGTAATAGGCTTAGAAGCTTCGACTATTTGCGGTTTTAGAGTTGGGGTATCAGATGCCGCTGTGAGCTTCAGTGGAGTCCCATTTAACAGCAATACATCACTCTAGATGTATCCATCTTCTGGAGTCAAGTGGTACTCTTCTCTTTGTTGTCCAACTTCAAATTTGCCGCCCATATTGTAGTCAATCACAATTGAAACTTCAAAACTGGTCGAATTTGACATGTTGATTATCAGGACTGCAATGCCAGAGCTAGTCTTTGAGCAATGAGAATCCACATGCAAATTTTTATTAGCCCGTGGGTGCCCCTGCGGGGGAAGCGGGGTGGGGCGGGGGAATTAGTGGGCAGCCTCTCTCGTTCCAACTCTGTCCCGTTGCCATCCCTAAAGCAAAGGCTTAAGCACTTCCATACAAAAAGTGCACTATGGCATTGAGGGATAATCCACTCCTCATCAATATCTATGCTGAAGGTTTTGTATATAAGTGATCTGTTCCACCTGAAGTTGGTTATCAACTCATGGACTTTTTTGTTAAACTGCAGTCCTGAGGTTTCCTTATCTTCAGTTTACCTTGAGGACTGTCAGGAATCCACTTGTCTTCCCATAACCTGGTGCTTTTACCATTTGCCTATTCTCCTCATAGTTCCTTCCTCCACTAGTTCTCTAGCTTCCATCATGCTCTACCAAATCCAAGATGCATTCTTTGGAACTTCACACTTGAAGAGGGATTCATTTTGGTAATACTTTGCCTTTAGCATCCTGTTCACCAAAAGATTTCAGCAAGTTAGCAGCCTCCACATTTGCTTTCCCAAGAGAGCTCTATTAAAGTCTTCCAGGTCCTTAAATCCCAGTGCACCCCACTTCTTCTCCTGTGCTATCTTCTTCCAAGAGCACCACTGGATTTTATTCTTCCCTCCTTCCTCTCTCCACCAGTAGTTTGCCGTAATTGAACAAATGTCTTTACACAATTTTTTTGGGAGCTTGAAGCAAAACAGGACATAAGTGCCATGGTCACTGCTTTAATCATCACTTCCTTTCTAGCGGTGCTTAACGTCTTGTTCTTCCAGCTTTGTATCCTTTTCTGTACTTTGTCTTTGATCAATACAAAAATTTGATCCTTTGTACTAGTCATAACCATAGGAAACCCTAGATATTTCCCTTGAGAATCCATCTGGATATTACCCAAATATTGACAGATCACCTCAATTCTATTTGAGGTCAAGTTTTAACAGAAGAACACTGAGATTTTTTCTATATTTATAGATCACTTCTTTTTTAAATCTGGCATGTCACTTATAACCAAGTTGCACTTTGCCGTATCAAATATGATTAATTCCAATTCAATATTGCAAAAAACCATGTGGGTATTACCCAAATGTTGACAAATCACCTCTTTTCTATTTTGGGTCAAGTTTTAACTGAAGAACACTGAGAATTTTTCTAAATTTATAGATCACTTTTTTTTCAAGTCTGGCCTGTCACTTATAGCCAAGTTGCACTTTGCCATATCAAATATGATTAATTAAACTTTTTTTTTGTTAGGGGCAAAAAAATAAATATTTTAAAATTGGTAAGATGTTTTGATCAATAGCTAAAGAGCATAAAATAAAACAGTTTCATCCCAACTTCCAAAAGGTTGTTCTCTTGTTTCGTAACTTAATAGCTAGTTTGTGAGTTGAGGATAGAAAAGAAAAGAAGAGAAAGGTTAAGTTATAAGAGAAAAGAAAGGATAAAAAAAGAAAAGAAGAGATTTTAGTGTTGTTTGGGAGTTTACGAAAGAAAGGAGGTGATTTTGGATACATTGGTTAATAAATATTTCATTCAATAGCTTTTTAAGGATAGAATGGGTAATCTAAAAATTTTTTGCAGCCTTTCCTTAGCTTTTCTCTGCTTTCCGCCCGATTTGGGCTGGAAATTTTTTTAAACTGTAGCAGCCTCTTCTTCCTTCCAAATCTGTCAGATTCTCTTCCTTTCTATTTCAGTTAAAGGTTAAAACTGTCAAACGTGGGAAATGCTACATTTCTCTTCCCTTCTTTTCTTTTCTGCTCAAATCTCATCTCCCAAACTAGGCATTATGCTTGTTGGAAAATTAAGATATCATGCACATGATTCACTTACAGCTAGTTTAAAGAAAAGATGGGAAGAAAAAGTTAGGCGTTTCCAATATTTGGAAGTTTTAGTGATATAGAAAAGAAGAGAAGCTGATTGATTTGGGAAGAAGCAGGCCAGCTACAGTTAAAAAAATTTTCTGTCTAAGATCGGTTAGAAAATGAAGGAAAGTTGCGGAAAGCCTACAAAAAATTTTAAATTGTCCATTCTATTCTTAAAAAGTTATTGAATAAAAATTTATTGACCTATAAATCTCTTATTTGCTTTTCTTATTTTTTTTCCTCTCGTACCTTAACCTTTCTCTTCTTTTCTTTTCTATCATCAACTCCCAAACTAACTATTATATAGAGATTTTTGGGCATGTTTAGAAGAAATCAACCCAAAACTCGATGAGAATTCTCAAACTCAAAGAATTCAACACATTGTAAATAATCTACTTCTTTAATGGGAACAACTAGATTTTGTGTAGGAAGAAAATGATTTTGAAGGCAAGATTTGGTAAAAGGGGGAGAAGTAGTAAGATTTTCTTTTTTTTTTTTAATAAAAAACTAAGTCAACAAAGACCTCATAGTCATAGTCATCGTGTCCCTAATATCACCTGATTAATTTTGAATTGGTCAACACTAATCTTAGTGGGTGCCAACATTCTTTGTAACATATTTCAGAAAGTTTTAGTTCTACCCACTCCTAACTCCTAAGGCTGTGGAAGGGCACTCGACCTCCATTTTAATTCACTCAGGTAGCAATAGATAGAATAAAATGGGGTACAGTCGTTAGCTTAGCGGTAGAAGATATCATGCTTTTGAGCAAATCTCTTGGCATTAATCTTTTTAATTATTTTACCTGAAAGGATGAATGACCTATATGACTTACAAAAATGATTCTCTAATAGTTAGCATCGTCTGTAAATACTTTCGTAATTATTTCATACTTTCGAGTGCATCTTTGTGGTGTTAATCTTGTTAATTATGCTACGTTGAATGATGTATGACTTGTATGACTTACAAAAGAAACACATACTAATGGGTGTGTTTAGATAGCTTAATTTTGTCAAATAATATTTTGTTTGAATCATAAACATATTTTTTAATCCACTAGTTGATATTTTCAATCGCTTTTTTATCTCATACATATCACATTATAAAAAGTGCTACAGTAATTATTTCAAATAATACTCTATTCAAATGATTTTCACTGTTATTTAAATATAAATATAAAAAATGTGTGTGTGTTTGTGTGATTGGACTGGAAAAATGGGGTGTTGAAAGAAAATGGTACCACTAAATGAAACAAGGAAAATCCTATATTAATGATATACCTCGACTTAAACGACGGAAATAAATTGATTTAGAAAACAAACTGTTTAGAATGGCTTTTTGTGGGACATTATGTGAGGGTTTCTTTGGCAGTGGCTTTCAAAGAGGGCGCCAACATTCTTCCTTACAGAAAACGCGCCAAAACCCGTAAAGATTCATAAAATTGAAATGCTCATTCAAGCAAAAGGTCGAACAGTTTCAGTTCAGAATCAAAATCAGTAAAACAATGGCAGCAGTCTTTGGATGGTACGGACCTCTAATTGATCTCTCCAAAGCGCCTTCCCATGTCGGCGACTACGTTCAGCTTCTCGTCTTTGTTCACAAATCCACCCCTGTTCAGGTGCCCAGGAAATACAAAACCCCAAAAGTTTTTTTCTTGTCGGTGCTTTTTGCACTGCTGATGAATTTGTTTCTCAATTGTGTAGTATAAATTGTCAAAAAAGGGAGGGAGTGGGAGCGGAGAGATGGTAAGGATGGACGTACAGGTGGGTGATGACACGCGTCGATATTTTCCTGTATCTATATGGCAAAAACAATTGGGGTCCAAGATTGTTGCTGGTGATATTATTTTTCTACAGAGTATGTAATGTGAAATGTAAATGCTTTTGTACAACTGATAGTTATGTGCATGCAGAATAAATTTGAGTCACCATTCGCTTTTGAACGCACTTTTGGTTTGTTTGTTTTGAGCATGTAAGCGAATTATGCATGTTTTTGGACATTGTAAACATAGACAAGATGCTTGTGCACAAGATATCGGGCCAGTTTGAAAGTTTAACCCTTTTTTAAGGCAAAGTTTGACTTCTTTCTCTGTCCCTCTGTGAGAAGTCTTTCAGGAAAATGGGGAAAAGGGATGATTGTTGTTGTTGTTGTTGTTGATTGAGCCAACAAGAGGGTCAAGAAAGACTGAAACCAATAGATGATCATATATGTATGTTTTTTAATCATGGATTACTTCATATTTAAAAGAAGATTTCGTAGGTTTTCTTTTCTTTCCTTCTTTTTTTTTGTGGTGGTTTTTGAATGGAATGAAGCCCAGATGCCTCCTTTATCAGATTTTTAATGCAATCTCATTTGGTGGAAGTAGATTAATCGTTACAATAAAATGTAATATCTGTAAATTTATTTGATAAGGGATTTTAGAATAGTCTGTCTATTGTCATGTTTAATTGATGAAGGACAATCAGCAGGATTCAAAGACTCTAAGGACACATCATGAATCCTGTTTTCAATAATGAAATATTGAAGTCTGAATGAGTACTTTTGATCACGTCATATAGGGATCGAGAAAATGTATGAGGATCTGTTGTGACAGGATAATAGGATATCTACAGTTTAAGTTCACCTAGTTTTTGTGCCAGTATATTGCTTTCAAATTTTAGCAGACTGCCACTTATACCATTTCTGCTATAAGTTTCATATGCTGTGCTCCCTACTTGGGCAATACAATAACATATAGAATTCTCAAATAAGAGTTTCCTTTAAATCTCTGTCCATTCCAGAAAGTTTATTTTATGCTACTCAAAAATTGTTGGGAGATTTCTTATTGTTTATTTTTTATAATGCTTTGTTGTCTCATCATTTTTGCATTTTCATTGCTTTGCTCATAGATTTTCCGTTTGGAATGTCGAAATTGACTTTAGTTTTCTCAATTTGATATCTTCTATTTTGACTTAATGTAATCAGATGTCAAGGTTGCAAGATTTAGAGATGTTATTGAAGTAAGAACTGATCATTGCTCATTAATTCAAAGCCTGGTTCGCTCAGATGAATTGCTTGTTTCTAAAGGTACACTCCTGTCATGGCAGCTGTAGATCTTATCTGTTAACAAAGAAGAAAAATAGCTGCTGAATAGTCAATAACTTGGTATTATGTTTCATCATGCTGAGTTGCCATATAAATTGAAGATGGTGTAAATTTGTTCATTGGATTTGATGCAACTGTCCTGTCTGTTAACGACAGACAGAAGAGTCTTTGCGATCTTATGGTTTGACTTTAGGTTGTAGTTGCAGCATAGAAGCTCTCAAGAGTCAAACTATTCTGGTATATGTTTTGATAATTTATGCCTCTTGTTAGAGCCCTAATGTCCTCAGGGGACCTTTAAAAATTATGTCTCCTAGTTTTAATTAGAACTTGTCATTATTAACAATGACAGCCTCTATGTATCCGCCTCTCTCTATTTGTTTATTTTATTTCCTAAACTCTTTAATATGGTCTACATCAAATTTTCTACTGATGTTTGTTGTTGTATTCATCGTAGATTAGAAATATGGCCAATAAACATTAGGGGAAGTGTGTCAATTCTGTAGTTTTTCTTTTGTAAACTCAGTCTTTTTTCTTTATTTCCCTTTCCCTTTCCTTTTTTACTTTCTCAAGTAAGACATTGGATTGTGATGGTGCATGTGGGTCTATTGAGAGAGAGAGAGAGAGAGGAAGTAAGATAGAATGCTTACAGAAGCAGCTATGTTTTTGGTGGCAGAGCATCAAATAAATTAAAGTTCAGAATATATTTTGTACCTAATGGAGAAAGATTTTGAGATTTGGCTGGGAGACCAAGATATGTGTATTTTTTATGAAACTTCTGCTTCCATTAAAATGTTGATTGGGATTGGATTCAAAGAAATTCACATTTAGAAACCAGTTTAGGTGGTCAAGGAGTCATTTGTGTAGCATTTTTGTGGAGTTTGCCTTAGGTTTAGACTGCAGGTGGTGGCCAACAGTAAGCATGGTGATTGGACTATCTTCTGTAAGATTTTGTTCGTTTTGATGGACAATTTGTATTGTATAACAACAAGAGCAAACATTTACTGGCCGCTGCCCCATCTCACAGCACTGTATTTGGGTTGGGGGAAGAGGGAAGAGGACGGGGAAATACAAAAAGGGAAATTGAAAAACAAAAGGACGAGGAAAAGGAAGCAAAGAAACGAGAAAGTGAAAGAAAGTAAAGGAAAAAAATAATATTGACAAAAGATAAAAATAAAAAATAATGAAAATGCAAACACATTCTGATGTGAAGCATGAGCATTACGCATGTGTAAATGGAAGTAATATTTTGAAACATTACACAAATTTGAACAGTCAGAATGGGCAATAACTTGGTCAAATGAGCAAAAGTAGGCATAGTACCCACTTCAATAACTGATGTGAAGCATGAGCATTACGCATGTGTAAATGGAAGCAATATTTTGAAACATTACACAAATTTGAACAGTCAGAATGGGCAATAACTTAGTCAAATGAGCAAAAGTAGGCATAGTACTTACTTTAATGGGTATTGATTAATTCCCTCTTATGATTATTACTTTTGATGTATACTTGTAGTATAGAAAGTTAGTGGCCAACATGTTACTGCATTTTCTCTTTATTTAACTGATATAAGGGCTTTTGTGTTTCTTGTTTTCTTTAAAACTAGTATTTCCCTTTTGTCATCTTTAGTAGTCATGCCAAACTAAAACAGTATATGTATTCCCATTCAAATGGTATCTTAATTCAGTTTTTGAATATACTTTTGAGTCAGGTACACTAAGTAAATTTTTGAAGTTTCTGAAATTTTCAAGAACTGGGAATCAGTTGATAATTGGTAACTAATCTAAAATTCAAGTGAAGTGAGGTAGTTTTTGGAATTCTTTTAAGTTCTCTATTAGATGTGGACTAAATAGGATTGCCTAGTATTTTGCATCTCATTTTGAAAAAAATTCTGTGATAATCTAGCACTTATGTGCATAATGTTTGTTTCTCCTCTTATCCTTTTGCTTAGAAGATTGAACAGAATTCCGAAATTAATTAGATTTCTTGTTGCTATCTAATCACCATATTGCTGTGTCCTTGAACATTACACTTAAGGGTAGTGCACACTAAATCGGCATCAGAGTTTGTTATTTGTTAGCAACCATAAACTTGAAAAATAGTTTGTTTGCTGATGGGTACACTAAGAATTCTGAAATCAATTAGATTTCTTGTTGCTATCTAATCACCATATTGCTGTATCCTTGAACATTACACTTAAGGGTAGTGAACACTAAATCAACATCAGTGTTTGTTATTTGTTAGCAACCATAAACTTGAAAAATAGTTTGTTAGCTGATGGGTACACTAAGCATAGATCTCTCTCTCTCTCTCTCTTGTGCTTCCCCTCTCGGCATGTGTGTGTGGATGGATAACTATTGGTTTTTTGAAGTCGTTGCTCAAATACTCATAGGTTGTGCTCTATTACATGTATTTTATTTTCTTGATCTAATACACGCTGTTGAACTAAATCTATGATTCAAAGGAGCACATTTGCTGCACAAGTGACAAGACTGTAAAAACAATTTAGCTTTACTTTGGGAGTCCTACTTTTGTTTTGAAATCATTTCCCTTGAGTTTCACTTGCAAAAGGAGTTCCCTCATATTTCTTGCCATAAATCCTAGGAATTTTTAAAATTGTCTTTTCCTCATGCAGATCTAACATATAGTGTAAAATCTGATTGTTTTGCTGGAAGAACAGGGTAAAAGGTCCATGTTTATTTATTCTGGGTAATTACTACAGCACTTATTTGCTTTTCCAAAGAGAAACTTTGAGCTGCTAGAGCTTGATAAATGCTATAGCAGTTGCTGCTGTTAGTTTTAGCCATTCCCTTGGTTCAAAGCTCTTTGATTAAACATGGTTCCTGGAAAATGTCTAAAGTGTCAATTTAAATTTATCGAGTGACATATGCAATTTTGGTAAGTGGCATGTGTCTGATATATGCATGTCACCTATTAAGATCTGTCTGTGCTTCTTAGATAAAAGAATGCAATGTGAAGTTGCTATCCTGATTTTTCGATTTACTTCATCCATTGTTTCGTTCTGAATGATATCAAGCACTATATGGAAATGCATGATGTTAATTGCCATACAGAAATATAATTTTGTGCTGAAATATTATCATCAATATATGCCTGATGATTTATTTAGTCTTTTTTCATGGCTTCTGTCTTACCACCAGTGGCATGGTGCTTAATGTTCTCTTTCCATCAATCCTAATATTAGCTTCATTTCACTTACCCTCAGGTATAGATGAGGCAATGAAAGATTGTCGAATTGGAATAACAGCAAAGAACAAGCTTCACAAGGTTATAGAATGGTTGCAGCGAGCTGGACTTGCAAGTCATGATGTTGAATTGAACAGCGACCAAGTATTTTTACAGTTTTTTTACTGTACTATTGCATTTGGACTTTGGTGGAAGTAGCAGCTACTTGTGTAGTACAGACGTTAGGTTAGTCAATTCCTTATAAAACTAGGATACAGCGAAACACTGAAGCAGTACATCAGTGTGGCAGAAAGCATATTCATGAGAAGTAATATGGGATAACAGGGTGTTGAATAAGGAAAGTATAGATCAAAATATTACTCATAATGAAGAAAAAACCTTAGCAAACATGGATTTTAAAAGCTTTGGTCACCTTTTGGACACGAGATTAATGGATATCATACCTCAATTAAGAAGTACACTAAAATCTTAGTATCTCTTTCACAATCTCTCTCTCTCTCTTCGCTAAAAGCTTAACTATGTATGTTTTCTTTGCTCTTTACAATTTCTCTTCTACCTCCTTCAGTTTGTTTATCTTGCTTTTTCTTGACTTCTTTTTTTTTTCTGGTTTTCAACAGGTTTAGACCTGTTTTCTTTCCTCTGGTTTAGAAGTTAAAGTATTGGAGATGTATTTTGAGACATCTCTTTTGCTCTCTCTCTCTCTCTCTCTGTGTCTTCCTCCCTTTCTACTCCCTGTACCACAACCTTATTCTTTTTAATATTTTCATCTTGACCTTTTTTTTTTCTGGTTGCTGACAGATGTAGACCTTCTTCCTTTTCTACTCCATAGAAAATCATACTATATCTCTGATATCTACACACCCACATTTTTGGTCTGCATAGTACAGAAGGAAAACTGAAAGTTCATATGACATAGGGCCTTATATTGTAACGCACTTGGGCTAAAATGTCTGTTCTTATAAGCTGTTGTCAGGCATCAAGTATAACATGCTGTACAATCGACCATAAATCTTCTTTGTATGTTTCTAATTGAATACAATTTGAATGCTTTTGCTGCATCCATACTCTTGTGTGGTGGTGGTAATATAATATACTCCTTAGGTGAATTAGAGCCACTTCCCTTGCACTTATCATATACAATTTAGTGCACTAGTGCTCCTTCTCCCCCTCTCTCTTCCCACCATTATCTGCATCAGTCCATTTCTTATTTTATCCCTGCTAACTGTTTAAGTTTTTGGCTATTTACTTTCTCCATTGTAGTTTCCATTTGCCTTTCTTCTTGAATGGCATCAAGCATGCTTCATTTTGCATATTGCAAGGTGAATAAAAGCCATCTTTTCTGCACTTGTGTTTATAGTTTCTGGAGTTCATATTTTAACCCAATGAACTGCTTAAGTTGTTGGCAGTTTCCTTCCACCACTGCAATTTCTGTTTTCCTTTCTTCTTATAGAGCATCAAGCATGCTTCATTTCGTATATTGCAAGCTGAATAGAGGACATCTTCTCTGCACTTGTATTTGTTGCAAGTCTCATATTTTTTCTATCCGCTCAGTTTCTTTCCATTGCCAGCAACTCATTCACCCACTTACTTTGCAAATTTACTTTGACTGATTGGTACTGCATACATCCCCTTCCCTGAAATTGATATGTATTCTCCAGTGATTTACTTACCATCTCTGTTTCTGTTGTCTGTACCAATTGTCATTTTGTTCTTGCACACTTGCACCTGCACAGGCACAGATACCTACCAGTCTGATTGACTAAATGTTCAGTTTTACCCTTCCCTGATCCGTATCCATAGCCATGCATCTCTGAAGCTAATATATTGTCTTGTGGTTGTATTCCCTTTCCATTTTTCTCTTTTCATTCTGTAGCCTTTGAGCATGCTTTTTGGTGCATATGCTAATTGTGAGGAGACACATAAGGCATGCTCAGCACATGTTGTGTCAAAGTCTCACGATCCAAGCAACTAATCTGGCTAATACATGTTAAAATATGCAGTTCTTAATGCTATATTTTACAAGCTTTCTATCCTGTAACTTTTCATTTTCTTTACCAAAAGCAACTCCATGCAAAATAAGATTGAAGCCTGGCATCCATTCTTGCAGACTGCACATTGATGAGTTTTTATCTTTGAGATAAATGTAGAAAGACCCATAGGTATTTTTGGTCAATTTACGAGCATGTGTTGTTGATCATCTTTCCAGCCAGTACTAATGTCAAGTGAATTAGTAATTGTTCAATTTTTATCTTCATGTCCAATGCTGATGTTGGTTATGGTCATTTCTGATTACCAGAGTAATAAGCAAATGTTTATAAATTGGAAAATGCATGAAGAGGTACAACACAAGGACTGTTTTTCTCTTATGCAATTAGAACATCTACCTGATGCTTCCAAGGCAACCTTCCATGCTTCAGTTGGAGAAATCTTTTTGCCGATCACCTGGAGACATATCCCAGAATCTGAAGTTGAAAAGATGTTTATCAGCAGGAGAATGTATATGTTGGGTGATAGAGATTTCATAGAGGATCTTCTTTGTAATGGCTGCCAGCTATGTGGTACCCCTTTGTCTTCTGAATTTGGGTATGGAGAAGGATGAATGGTTCTTTCTTCTGCTTCTTTCTTTTGAGCTTTGATGTAATGAGCATAAAAATGATATCCCATGTTTCACAATGGCAGGCCACCCATGAAGCAAAACAGCTTCCCACTTTATTGCCGGAAAAGCCAAAATGGTCTCCATGCTTTGAGCATGATATACAGACCTTTCTTGGTATGTATCTCCTTCAACTGTCACAACCCCCAACCCTGCCCCGCCAAAAAGAAGGAAAAATTGACACAAGTGACTATTGAGACTGAAATGAATGCATAAACATGAATTGCGAGGTTTGATGCTCTGGAGTTGTCCTTTTACCCATTTTAGCTTTTTACCAAAACTGATTAAGACTTACTTCCTAGGTAGATAAAATCTAAAAGATTGTTTTAAAAAATTTCCTTAATCCATTATTTGACTCCTCGAAGTAATTGTCTGAATTACTTGATACAAAATTGGATGTTTTTCTGTTTCTAATAGAGATGCTGTAAGGAGGACCGAATGCAGCCCTTTTGTTTTTTTGTTTTTTTTTTTCATTTGGGAAAGAGTAGCCAGAACAAGATTGTACACTGCCAACCTTCCATGCTGTGAGGAGGACCAATGGTTATTTTATTGTTATATGTGTTGCATGGCAATTGGTGACCCTCTTTCCAGCGATGCAGTCTATTGATTATTTAAAATAGAAAAGAATAAAATACATAGGAATCTTCATTATTCTCAAATTGTATTATTTTGTAGTGAAATTTTTTATCTCTTTCCTTCTGCTCGCTTAGTCAAATTTGCCTCAAAATGTTACTGGGTTGATTTTAGTGAACCTCTCTCAGCTGCACACACAGACAAACTCATACGCAGAGATAGAGATTATTAGTTTGTTTTGTGTACATAGTCATTGAAGTGGGCTGAAAATACGAATTGGAATTGACTAGATGATGATAGTGTTGTCTTTTGTTTTCTCAACTCTCGCCAATAACATAACCAGTATATATTTGTGAACCCTGTAGAATAGCACTTGAAAACCAATGCTCGTTCTGAGGGTTGGAAGAACGGATTTGAAGGTTTTGAATGCCCATACCCTTTGCTTGGGCCTAACTAAATTTAACATTCTGGGAACAGAATAATTAGTAATTATGGTTATCATAAATCAATTACTTGGAACTTAATTTAGGTGATTATATTTGCACTCCACATTTTTCTTTTAATCAACTTGACAGAATTTCCATAGACCAAATTCTAGCACCGATGAAGCCCTCTAATACATAATTGCAATACTTAGAAATTTCATATATATTTTTTGGTTGCTTACTTCATTCTATCTTTTGCTATTTGTTTACACCTTTTGTCTTGACATGTGTATCTTCCTTTCATGCACGAATTGTATTTTTGTTAGGGAAAAATCTTGCACTCTGTCAAGCTGGTTTGACCTCTTCATTTGCTTGGCTAGTAAGATTGAATTTCTAATAGTTTCAAAATTCTTGACTTAGTGCATTCTTTCAGATAAGTTGGCTGTACCTGCATGTTTAAAAATGCCTTATATTTTGAGGGGCTGGTGTGATACACGATTTGGAAATGATGATGTCCCAATAGATTTATTTGTGTATTTAGATTGCTGACTTGTGCCATATCATGCAGTTATATGTGTGGGACGACTCGCAATGCCTCCCACTTCTTGTGGCAAATAAGGCTGCTGAAATGTTGTTTGGGAAGATCCCAGCTGAGAAAGTTTACTGTGGTTATATAAGGGAAAAGCATAGACGAGATATCAGTGCAAATTTTGTTTATGGCCAGAATCTTTCCTGCGAAAGAACCGCCAATAATCTAAATGTAGCCAAGTCTGCTATTGGTAATCCTTCCTCTTCAAGCATAGACGGGAAAAGAAGACTGAAGGTGAAGCAAGTTTTTTCAAATGCAAACCAATATTTGATTTGGTTACTGTTGCTAAAATTATTATTTAAACAAGGGAAAAACAGCCCTTTAAAATTTCATGTGAAAGTCAATTCAAGCAGAGACCCTGAGACTGAGAGGTACGAAGTGCTCTCTATATCCATGCCTTCCCGCAGCCAAAAACTCTTCCCTGCATAGCTTGTTCAGCTATGCTGTTTGGTTATTACATAAAATCGTATAACGTTGTTTAGGACCTTGACGTTCGGATTCAATTGCTTATATCTCTTTCTTCAATTAAATGCCTGCTGTGAAAAAGCGAATTGTTTTATTAAATGTTTTGCAAGGCATTGATGATTGTTGGAAGTAAATTGATAGTGTATTTGGATAGAAATTTTTTAAAATATTATTTTGGTTGGTTAGGATATCCTTCTTTTTGAAGAGGAAAATTGGCTCATTCTTTGTAAAAATTTGCTTTTGATTTGTAAATTTCTGGACGTCACGTTTTGTGCTCCCTTCTATCATTTTTCTTTTGAAGATTATTAATAAAATTTAGAGCTGGCATTCTTCCCCATGAATAAGATCTGTTAGTTAAAAAATATTATTTTGCTTGCATCAAAAGGAGTGTATTTCAACTATTTTTTTTTATATTCTCTATTAACTTTTTCATATCTCATATATATTACATTACAAAAATTGTTATAGTAATTATTTCAAATAATGTTATATCTAAAAATATTGTCGGGTTTCTGGGTCAAATACAATATTGTTTTCAACTTGTAAAGAAATTTTGATGTCTGTATCCTAGGTTAGGTACACTATCATTTTCAATTTGTAAATAAATTTGGATAATATATAAGTATTCGTATGTAGTTTACAAGAATGTGAGATGCGCCAAACATATTAAGAATGTAGCAACTTATTTGGGGCTAGAAGGAAAGAACCATGTAGATCAGATGGGTGTACCGACAACCCTCTTTATATATTTTTTTTAAATGCAGGATGTGAGGATTTGAACTCTCGATTTACATCACAAAGTGAATATAAATCCCTCCTGTAGCCAACTTGCATTTGATAAGTTGGTTCAATGTCACAACTTACTGGAAAATGTAGGGAGGATAATCTAAATTCTAGGAACTTTTCTTTATTATTTTTATTACTTTTGGTGTACGTTTGTAGTGTAGATTTATTTGCTTGTACTTTTGTTATTCTAAATAATAGAGAAGTTAAATAAATATTATTAAGTTGGTTAATTTTGCCTTTGAGATCAACACTTAGATACTGGTTGTACTTGTGTACGACTTGTGCAATTATAGACAAAGAATTTGAGTATTAAAAACCAAAACTTTACATCAGTGTAATTCTTTAAGTATCCTTCTTGGTAAAGATTTACACGTTATAACATATCGTTGTGATGGGTAGGAAGAAGAGAATCACACAAATCATGATAGCTTGTTCCTGCAAGTGATCTTTCTTAAACGATTGATTGAATGAGGATGGATCGGGGGGCATACGAATGGAGAAAAGGAGAGATTGAGTCATGGGGATGGCTCACGAATGGGTGGGGGAAGGGACGCGCACGCGCCAACTGATGAAATATATGGATAAGCATTGCTAGAGTTCCACCATTCGAAGGTTATCCCGTCTCCTTGAGTGCCTTTAAAGCAGGTACTAACTTGGATATGACCTCATGAGCCCCAAATCAAATTCCTTCTCTGGCTAACATGCGCATGGAAAAAAGTGGCCCCAACCCGAGACTTCAATTACTAAATATGGGACTAGTCACTAACTTCTTACTTAAGGCATTCCTCATTTCATCAGCCATTAGACATTCCATGCCCTCGGAGAGTACTTTGTTGTAGGTTGGTGCTTTCTTCTTCTTTAGAGAGAGTCCTAGTTTTTCAACAACTTTAAGTTCTAAGTAAACATAATGTTTTTCAATGTTCATAATCAGTGGATAGTTCAGCCTTCTCACTAGGCGTTCCATGCGGAATCAAAGTTCCTATCCAAAAGACAGAAGTACTAGTTTATTCTAATTGATCATATACATTTTATATACGAGGTACTGAATACTGAATATACCACTTTTTGTTTGTCTGGTATGGTTATTCTCTTGTAAAATGATGGATAGCCAATATTCTGAACAAAATCATTTGGGAATTTAGATTTAACTGCTTGGTGGATACAATTGGACTTGTTGAAAGACATACTTCTAAATAGATTTTGTCTAGGTTTATTTGTCAATTTTGTTTCCAATCATATGAGTATCCTTTATCAACCAACTAGTTCCTTACGCTTCTTGCTCATTATTTTCCTGGTTTACGAACTAACCCCTCGTCCGGTCTGGTATCATAGCTAGGTTTGTTAAACAAAGTCCTCCTCTGGTTATATACTTTACATATTCTGTTTATATACTTTATTCATGACCTATTATACCGCCTGATCTACTAGTGATAGTCTGACTGCGACTCGCTTCCTTACCCTTCTTGCTCATTATTTTCCTGATTTAAGGGCTAACCTCTCGTCCCGTCTGGTATTAGGGTGATGGCTATCTTTCTTTGCTTATTATGATATGACTAGTGTAGATCTGCAAGTTTAGATTTTTCCGATGGACTAGTTAGTTTGCAATTAATGTCTTTCTAAATATATTATAATATTGCTAGTATTGAGCTATAAACCTAGATCTGTATGATGAATATGAAACCTGTAATTGCCAACTATCGGCCCAGGCAGTGAGAGTTGGGGGCCAACAAGACCTATAGGGCTGTTGAGATCTGTGTAGTCTGAGATCCAGGGCAGTGAAATGTTCAAAAGATCAAATCTAGCTTTCTAGATATATACTACTGTTATTATAATTTGCTTGGAAATATAGTAGTTACTCATAGATAACTTGTTTTAGAAGTTCAGATCTAGCCTCTCAAAATCTATATTGTCTTTATTATAATCAGTTTAGAAACATGGTTATTCTTCATGGATTATAATTTGCTTGGAATATAGTAGTCACTCATAGATAACTTGTTTTAGAAGTTCAGATCTAACCCCTCAAGATCTATACTGTCTTTATTATAATCAGCTTAGAAACATGGTTATTCTTTATGGATCCCGAACGATTCTATGCCAAAGGGAAGAGAATTATAAAATTGCTTGTTTATCAGTTCCATCTATTTCTCATGGCTTCCTCTTTCAAAACGAATTTTCGTTCTTCTAGTTCTTCCTCAAACACCAAACTAAAAGAAGAAATTAATATATCAGATATTAATCAAGACATAGACAATTTGAAAATCCCTAAATATACTCAAAGCGATATTTGTGAAAAAAATAAAAAGTGGATGTTCTTTGCTACAAACTATACAATCAAAACTGTAAACAAACTATAGCCTTAGATGCAGACTATGAAGAAATCAAACTATTATCCAAAAGAACAATAGAAAAACATAAAGAAAAATATAATTATATTCATGTAACAGTGCACAAATGATTGGATTTGTAATATTCAGTATACTAACCAATTTTTGGTTCTTTGCAAATCTGCTTGTAAAATAGTAGGGTTAGGTCGAGTGAAGTGGAAGGGAGCTGTGAGAAAATACAAGTTTTCGGCAAAATTGTTTAAAACGAAGTTAATAGCATATATTTCTGTATACTATTACTGTTTATAAGAAACAAAATTTTGGTTCTTGGTTACCTAGAAATTGCGGTGGAAAGAATTCTAGAGTATGTTCCAACCACATGAGTATTGACATTAATATTTTTAAGGTTTTGCATATCAACATCTTCAATCAAATTAGGACATTAATCTATGATTTGTTTGTCAAGTCTTAGAACATAATGTTTCAAGTCTTTTTGTAACACTATTCCAACAAGTTATGTTGATTTATGTTAGTGATGAAATAAATTTTGTATATATATATTTTTTATTTTGTCGGTTCATGGCAGTTGTTACAGTTCATAAGGCAAATGGATTTGGCTCTATAGTAGACTGGAATGAAAATGTGGGAATTGGTAAGAGCATAATCATATTATTATTAAAAAAATAAAAGTCTAAAATTAGAATATGAATGGACATAACATGAGTATAATAGCAAATAAAGTCACAAAGAATATTTGGATTAAGTATACATAAGAAACTTTTATGCTTTTAAATATGAAGAAACAATTATCTAATATTTAGGTTGCATTACATAAGAAATTTATGTTTTTGGTTTCTGTTGAAAAGTGTAGATAGGTTATGTTGTTTAGTCAGTGGTAGTATATTACAAATTTTGTGGAATATATAAAACCTTTAATTATCCATATAATTTTAGCAATTTTATATAGTTTAAGTTTTCTGTGTATATTTTACAATTATATATATATATATATATATATATATATGCATTGATAATTGTTTTGTTATTTGATTATTAGTATGTTTTTAATCATTGTTTCTTTATGATATTTTGAAAGTAGTTTGTTGACAAGTAATTTTGTATCATCGTATTTTTATTATTCATTTGGTAATACTAAGTTTTTTTTATTAGTCTATTTTGAGCATTTTATGTGTAACAAAATAGATTTTTATTTATTTATGCATGTGAAAAATAAATAGAAAATTAGTATGAAAAGTATAAGTTTTTTTTTCAATTTTCAAAAGGAAAGATAAATAGGATGGTAACCCAGGGATTAAAAGTATAAAGATAGATAAATAATATCAATTGTAAAATGAGGCAAGAAATTTATTATATGATTATATATATATTTTTATTTTTTTTGTATGGAATAGGGCATTTATTCATTTTGGAATTTCATCTTTGTAAGGTCAATATGTAGATGCATATTTCTGTGATCTAGTTTGAATTCTTTGAATAACAAGTTTGAGTCTATTACTTGAGGAAGATTTTTGTTTTTATCTATCATATGCAGTAAAAAGTTGATATTGAATGGTCTAGAATGCAAAATTAAATATGTAGATGGTCTTTTTCGTTTGTAATTGATGGTGTAGGTAGGTGATCTGAGTAAAAAGAGAGGTGGAAAGCTTGCCTTATCTTCAATTATAAGCTTATAAGTAAAATGCTTTAATGGTGGTGCAGTGGAGTTTGTCACTAACATTTGTTTTCTTAATTTGTTTGTCAACTTTATTTTATTATGTTTTATGTTAATGGACTATCTTGTAGGTAAGCAAAAGTAGGAATTGAGTGGATACTCTTTTGGGTTAATTAGCTAATTTTGGCATGTTATTATTATTATTATTTGTGTTGGTAACAATTTGTATGTTATCTTTTTTTAATATTTGTTACACAGTGGATAAGTGATTGGATAGGCAAATTAAACTGATATTGTTTATTACTTATGGTTGGTGATACTTGCAAATTGGTACTAATGATATGTAATGTAA